GCAGGTAGCTGGAGTTTCTGCAGGCCTTTCAAGCCTGAGGGTACAAAATGGTACCCTTAATAGTATTCTCTTTGTGGCTGTTCCTACCCGGTCTGTATGACACAGGGACTCCTGCCCCCTCCTGGCCAATGTGGATTCTGCACACTCCCAGGAGCTAAACAACACCCAATTCTGTTGGCTGGGGAGCAGTACCAGGTACTATTAATCTCAAGCACAGGCAAATCATATCTGAAAAGCATACTTGCATACAAGGGCACTGTTATTTAATCTCTTATCCTTCTATATTTCTAACAATTCTGTCCCAAATCATGGGAATTTATGCTTTAGAAAAGAGCAAATCAAACACACTATGCTATTTTCAGATTTCCTTTTCTTAAAATCCTGTACAGATTTGCCAGGGTTTTTTGTTTTCCCTTTAGAGTTGACTGTTGCATCTGTTCTCCTTCTGTGAGCACATCACATACTAGATCTGTTTCTCTACATCCCGAGTTACTAGAGACCTCATCATGTTGGTTTTAGGGCCTAAGTTAGAACCAAAAATGCCCACTTAAGAAAAAATTTTTTTAAATTATGGTAAAATATACATAACAAAAAAAATGTACCATTTTAACCATTTTTAAGTGTACAGTTCAGTGGCATTAAGTACATTCACATTGTTGCACAGCCATCACCACCATCCATCTCCAGAACTTTTTTTATCTTCCTCGACTGAAACTTGGTACCCATTAAACAACTCCCCATTTCCTAGCAACCACCGTTCTACTTTCTGTCTCTATGAATCTGACTTCTCTCGGTACAAGAATTCCCACTTTTGATTTTCACAGGTGGGATTTGTATTGTAAATCTGCTGTCATTTTTTTTTTTTTATAATTTTATTTATTTAGTTTTTTTCCCCCAAAGCCCCCAGTTGTATGTCATAGCTGCACGTCCTTCTAGTTGCTGTATGTGGGAGGCGGCCTCAGCATGGCCGGAGAAGCGGTGCGTGGGTGCGCGCCCGGGATCTGAACCCAGGCTGCCAGTAGCGGAGCGCGCGCACTTAACCGCTAAGCCACGGGGCCGGCCCTGCTGTCATATTATGTATCTACGATGTGCAAATTATGAGGAGTTCGTGCCTTTATATTTTTACTTTTGCTTTAAAATCTTGGAAGAATTTTTTTATTGTGGTAACATACATAAAATTTTGCCATTTTAACCCTTTTTAAGTATATAATTCAGTGGCATTAGTACATTCACAATGTTGTACAACCATTACCACTATCCATTTCCAGAACTTTTTCATCATCCCAGACAGAAACTCTATACCCATTAAACAATAAGTCCCCATCTTCCCCTCCCCTCTCAGTCCCTGGTAACCTCTATTCTACTTTCTGTCTCTATAAATTTGAATCCAGGAAGAATTTAATGTCATTCTAGTAGGGAAAGTTGCTCATATTAGATTGGCTATAGGAGTGAATAAGTTTCCCATTGTCTACATATGACACTTTAGTTCAGAAAACAGTCTATATTAAATAGAAGTTATGATTTATTTATTTTATTTTGTGTGTGTGTGTGTGAGGAAGATCAGCCCTGAGCTACCATCCATGCCAATACCTCCTCTTTTTGCTTAGGAAGACTGGCCCTGGGCTAACGTCTGTGCCCATCTTCTTCCACTTTATATGGGACGCCGCCACAGCATAGCTTGACAAGCGGTGCCTTGGTGCGCACCCGGGATCCGAACCCGGGCCGCCAGCAGCGGAGCGCCAGCAGTTAACCGCTATGCCACGGGGCCAGCCCCAGAAGTTATGATTTATTAAGTCTTAACAAAACCTACCCAAACTCACGGATGCTACTAAAAGGGTACAATAGCCGGAGATGAAGAAAATACTTTCCAATGAAGGGCCTAAGAAAGCATATAAGATCCTGTGATGAGTCTTTGAGTTCATTCTGTTTCTGTGGTTATATTTTCTTTTTCATTTATAAAGTATAAATGTGTATTTTGTTTTCTCTTTTTTTCTTTATCAGGCTTGATAAACCTAGATCAGGTGTTTATGTTTTTGACACCCAGACAGGAGAAATTTTCACCCATACACGTATCCTAGCAAAATACCTGAGCTCCATGGGTCAAGGCAGAAGCATACAAGTTTTCACACTGAAGGAAGAGGCACTTTTTCAAAAAGAAAGCAAATAAAACCAGCAGTAGAATTCTCATTTGCCACACTGAAAACTAGAAGACAGTGGAACAATATCTCCAAACTGAAGAGAGAAACTGCAGCTAACAGCCAAGAATCTTGTTCCCAGAAAAAATGTCATTCATCTTTTGGGGACAAAGACAGACAATATTAGGCACTCAATGGCTCAACATATTGCCCATGGATCCTAGCTGAGGAAAATACTTAAAGTTCTCTAATCAGTTGATAATTATATTAGAAAAGAGATCTTAGTACAGGGCAGATGAAGAGTACACTACTTGTGAACAATTAATTTTGTAATAAATATAGTTATATATTAATGGATAATTTATTCATTCAACAATTTTGATTGCCAGGCTCACCAGCAACTCTTGGAGCTGATAGTATGTTATGATATTAATGAGATAAGATATACATGCTGTTGACGTGGTTGAAACCTTGTTTATGACTCGTTTTACAATTTCCATGAGACTCCACTCAGTTTGCGTTACTCAATTGCCTCTGGCTAGGAGCGAAGGAATTTACCTCAGGAGGTGATCAATGAGTTTACTCTCCTGCCTACGTGTTCCTTGAGGCATATGGTACCTTGGAATGCAAAGACACATCTCATTCATCCGCCCCCATGCCATAATCTTTGAGACTAACCAGAACCCATCAACTTGCTTAACCAGATCACCTAATACTTTTTCCTTTGACATTTCTTTAGAGTAGTAAAAATGGTTAAAATCTTATATAAGGGCCCCACACAGACACTTGCACTGCAACTCTTTACTGCCCATGGGTCCCGTCCCCATGCTGAACACAAAATAAAGGTGCACGAACTAACGAGCGGCTTGTGTCTGAAAATTCTTTTTTGACTCATGACGCAGCAACCCCACATCAGTGTAAATGTTTAGTAAAGAGTCTTCAATTAGAAGACACACTTAAGAAGAGTTGAGCATGGGGTTCAATGGGAAAGTGAGGAAGTAAAATTACAATTTCTAAAATTTTCATCTAGCTGAAGGGGTGGGGGTGTGAGCAGGTAAAATGTCTTGGGAAACATGTTTATTGATCAATTTTGAAATATTACTAGAGGAATACAGGTTTCCTCATAACTATTAGGTATGGAAAGGGAAACACTAGCATTATGGAGACAAACATTAGAATTGCCAAATTAACAGGAGGGCAAAAAAGGAATGAAGAGAAACTTTTCCAAGCCAATACAAAGAAAAAAATCAACAAAGTAAGATATAAAATAGACATAAAGGAATGGATAGAACAAAGCACAAAGATTCCAGTTCAATGATAATTGCAAAGAATTCAATTCTCCTAGTTAAAAAAAAAGATAACAGATCGAGTTCTTAAAAATCCACCTATTAATTATTTGCATTTGAAAGTGTTAAGAGTTGAAAACAAAGGAATGGGTAGATATAGATTGTATAAATACAAACAAAAAGAAAGCAGGAAAGGGATCGTTTCAAGAGATAAAATTGAAATCAAGGCCGCATACATTAAAAAGTGCAAAAAGGCTATTATTTAATAAAATCACATAATATTGTACATGTATGTATAATGTAAAATAATATACATTTTTCATACTTGTAATTAAAATTTATAATTATATATAATCTACAAAGACAACCTAAGAGTCATAGATGTTTATGCTCCAAATTTGGCCAAATACATAAATAACATTCATTTACAGCATTTAACTAATTAGGCAAAAATAAAGCAAATCATAGAGGAATTATATAACAGTTTATAAGCTTGATTTAACACAAAGAGAACTTTCTAACCTACAGAGAATATATACCCTTTATGTCCATAGAAATTAATTATATATCTGGCCATAAAGAAAAACGATTGGGGCTGGCCCAGTGGCATAGCGGTTGAGTTCGAACGTTCCACTTCGGCTTCCCAGGTTCCCTGGTTCGGATCCTGGGTGCGGACCTACTCACTGCTTGTCAAGCCATGCTGAGGCAGCGTCCCACATAGAAGAGCTACAACTCAACAGCTATGATACACAAATATGTACTGGGGCTTTGGGGAGAAAAAAGAAAAAAAAAAAAACCAGGAAGATTGGCAACAGATGTTAGCACAGGGCCAATGTTCCTCAAAAGGAAAAAAAAAAAAGAATAGTGGTCCCCTCTGTTTTCTTTTACCTGAAACTCTCTGGAGTGCTAAAAATGTTCTATATTTGAATTGGTGGCGGTTACATAAGCTGTACATTTAATATATGTGCATTCTGCTGTATGTAAACTATACTTCAAATAAAGAAGATGCCAAAAACTGAAACTACAGATTATCTAGAAAATTTTAAGAGTGAACACTCCATATAAAAACCTAATGGATACAGATAGAGCTACACTCAGGAAAATTTACAGTCATTAATATTTTATCACCAAAAATACTAAAAATAAAGGGACTATATTTAATTCAATAAACTAATGATAAAATAAACAAAAACAATTAATAAAGAGGAAAGTTGAAATTAAGGCAGTAGAAAACAAAAAAGTAGAAAATTAGCAAAATAAAATGTTATTTCTTTGAAGATACGGACAAAATAGAGCAACTAATAGGTTTAGAAAATGTCTGGGTTCAATCAGTGGTTCTTGTGATTTTTGTCTTTAAACCTTGGTGCTGTGTTCAACAAAACCGTAATAATGGAATTTAGCGTGGGGTTCATTCATTTATTAAATTAAAAAAAATCTGTTGACCATCGATATCCTCAAGACATTGTTTTTTAATTTGGCAGGAAAGACCCAGTTTAAGAACGATGATTTCGGCCGCTATTTGTCCAACAGATAGCAGGTGTCTGCCCACTTACACAAATCAGCTTATTTCAGGCGCACGATGGTTCCTGCAACGTAGGTACTGTCCTCATCTTGGAGATGAAGTTACTCCAGGCTGCCCGCTCGGATGTGGCTGTGAATTCAGGGCTGACCCAGGACTGCCCAGGTCAGGAAAGGAGAAAGAAGCCCTCGGATTCAGAGGCCACCGAGGCGCCTCCGCAGGTGCAAATGGGCTCTGGGTGTCGGGAGCGGAGGCCTGACGCGCGGTCGCGTTAGGCCTGCAGGATGGAGGCGGGCAGGTGCAGGCCCGGAGGAAGGCAGGCGACCTGGGTCTTTCTCCAGGGCACAGCTGGGCGTCAGCCAGGTGTGGCAGACCCGGGCCGCGGCGGGCGGGCGGGCGCAGCGCCC